CCCATGGAGAAAGAGACCTAAAACGCCCAAGGCCTAAAGGACAGTGCCAGGTGGGAGCAGAAGTGTCCCACTTGAGTGTGACTGCTCATACACTTCTAGTAGCAGTGGTCAGAATGGCCAGGCTGTAAGTCACACCTCTGGGTCCTAGTACTAATTCTGCAGTTTTTTCCAGGGAAAGAAAAGGGCACAACAAAAACCCTGGGAGCCACAGACATACAGGCAGGCAAACACTCACACATGTAAAATAAAAACCAATAAATCTTAAAAAAAACGAAAACGAAACCCGTTCCCTGAGTTGGTGCTCAACCAAGAAAGCTGGCTGTGGTGCCGGCCTTAGGGTTCTGCTTCTGTTCCCACATACCTAGGAGATGGAATTATGGTGGAAGGGCCAATGATGGAAGAGATCCTCTGAGCTATAACTAGGCACAATGGGCCTTCTTTTGGTAATGAGAATATTCTAAAATTGTACCGTGGAGTTTTCTGAGCAATTAAATGTACCAATTTACCTTCGATTGTTTATTCAGAATGTACTAATTTAATTAATGTGAATATTTATTTATTTTTAGGTGGTTTTTTTTGTTTGTTTTTTGTTTTTTAAGACAGGGTTTCTCTGTGTAGTTTTGGTGCCTGTTCTGGAGCTTGCTCTGTAGACCAGGCTGGCCTTGAACTCACAGAGATCTGCCTGGCTCTGCCTCCTGAGTGCTGGGATTAAAGGTGTGTGACACTGCCCGGCTTATTTTTATTTTTTTAAGAAAATAGTTATTTGGGGTGGAGGTAAAGATTTTTCTTGCTCTTAGATTGCAAAGTAGCCCCAGGCAGAAGATACATTTTATTCTGAGGTAAGAGCAGAGAGAAAGATCTAGAAGGAAGGGAATTGGTAGACAGCATGCCTGGCTTTTCTGGCTTAATCAATTTAAAATTTATTTTTTATGTATATGAATGCTCTGTCTGCATGAACAACTTTATGCCAGAACAGGGCATCAGATCTCATTATAGATGGTTGTGAACCACTGTGTGGTTGCTGGGAATTGAACTCAGGACCTCTGGAAGAGCGGCCGGTGCTCTTGGCTACTGAGCCACCTCTCCAGGCCCCCTACCATGTGACTTTCCCATGACCTACCTCAATGTTGCCAAGAAGTACCCTTGAAAATTGAGAAGTGGTGATAAAGCGATGAAAAATCGGAGCTATTGGCCTCATTTTCTTGTTTGGAGATGGGTCTATCCCCACTGAAGAAGAAATGGGTCACTTTTAGGTTTGTCCTAGGAGAACAGGACCTTCTCAGCAAGTGCCAAGATGTTTTTATGGGCCCAGAATGGTCCTGGTTCATATCTAATAAACTTACTTTTGGATATAGGTGTCTTGTTTTTCTATTTGTGACCTTACTAGAATGATACATATATTCTATCATTTGGAGGCCAATCTAGTTGTTAAAAACAACCCATTGCCAGAACAATGTGGTACATCGTCATATTTCTAGCGCCCTGAAGGCTGGAGCAGTGCAAGTTCAAGATTAGCCGGGGCTACACAGTGAGCTATTACTATTTTTTTTGACATTGAATTAAAAATTGAACATTTATTAAAATACAAAAATAGAGTTTTCTCACATTGCATCCTCCTTCTGTTGGCTTTCCCCCAACCCACGCCACCTCCTTTCAAATCTGAGCCCTTTATTAAAACTAAAATAATAACTGAAAGAAGTTACATCACCGAATGGACAAGAATAACAAATCTTACCCTTCCATACATCTCTGGGACAGGCTCGGGGTGGGGGGTAAGCTTCCTCCCACTGTGCCCCATTCCACAAGACAACATGCAGAGCACATTTGTGTGCATGCCTGTCATTTCTCTTGTGGATTTCACGTGTATGTGTGTGTGTGTGTGTGTGTGTGTGTGTGTGTGTGTGTGTGCGCGCGCGCGCGCGCGCCTTGGCACAGCTGTGGAGGTCGGAGGATAACTTTGGAGTAGTTCTCTCCTCCCACATTAATGTGGGTTCTACTGATTGAACTCAGGTTGTCAGGCTTGTGCAGCAGAACCCTTCAGTCACGGAGGCATCTCACCACCCTCTTTATAAATCTTTTTATTTGTACTTGAAGTTAAATTTCAAAATGTATTTTCTTTGTTACTCTGAGCATGGTGGTTGGCGTCGGGTGCCGTGGAGCATGTGTGGAGGTCAGAGGCCAGCCTTCTGGAGTTGGTTCTCCACCTCCGTCTTGCTGTGGGTTCTTGGGATGAGATGGGGCTTGCAGAGGCTTGGGCTGCAGGTTCTTTAAATACTGAGCTACCCCCTGATAACTAAATCTTGTCTCAAAAACAAAAACAACAAACAAAAGAAATCACAAAAGCCCATTGATACAACCCTGTTGTGTAGTAATTGTTGCCGCATTTTCCAGGAGCCTCAGTGAGTGATAGTTTGTATATTACAGAATGCACTCATCAAATTGTATAATTCCAGGTTTAATAATGTTACAGTTTCCCATCCTTCCTAGCCACAGTGGCCAGCCTGTGTGATGATCTCTTCGGCAAACTGGAGCTGTTTCCATGGTTACCAAGCCCAGTGTGGCCCTGGCATCTTGACACACATTTCCATCATCCCCAGACCTAACAAGCTCCAAGTGTTCAGTGTTCACACCGTTGATTTCTTGGTGGCAGGAGAAGGGAAGCTACACTGCCCTCTTTGAGATGGCTGTGCATCCCATTTGTGACCTGGAGATGCCATCTGCTGTGCGGGCCATGGGTATCAGCTGATGAAATTTCTCCATGCCTCAGAATAGCCCTAAGCCCTACGCTCAAGGAGGAAGATGTGACTTCTCCCATCTCTCCCTGTGGCCACCTCATGAATAAATTTTTTTTCAGAAGCATTTTTACTGATTAATTGGCATTCATTTGCATAGGTAACATTATTTTTCAGCATTGCCAATAACAAAATGTATCGGAAAAAAAATTCAAAGAAAGAATAGCTATTCTGATGGAGAAGAAAAGCTGTAGAAACTCGTGCTAAATGTTTCCACCTGGGTACAAAATGTTTATCACCCTTTCTGCTGAGTTCATTGAAACAAAGCAAGTTTGAAATAGCTCTCCTTTTCAATACAGGTGTGTGTTAAAGCAGACAGAAAAGTCTAACAGTTTCACCAACATCCTATTTTGTGCATTATTTTATCCTCTTATAATTGAAAAATGGAAATGTCTCTAATTTCTTATCTTCCTAACCT